GAGATAACTTCTGTTATTATTTGCGCTATACAAATAAAATTGAATTGAATTGAATTGTTATGGTCATCTTGTAGTTTTGTAACTACGTACAAAAACAGCTTAGAAAATCATCTAAAATACTTCCAGTGTCTTCAGTTTCAAGTGTTAGTCAATTGCGCTTCCATAATTAAGGCTACAGCACTTAATATGAATATAAATGTTTCTGCACAATTTCAGTGTTCCTTTCGACAGAAAAGTAACTAGACCTAAGCTCTTTATTTTCAATATTATTTGATGACAGGCAGAGATTGCTATTAGACTAAAAGCAGACGTCTATGGTTTAATTTAGTACAGGGTGACTGTAGTTGCCAGGCCAGTAGTAATCTATTAGCAATATTCATGTAAATTTTGCCGTGACCATTTTTACATGTTCATGTGCTTTAGTATTGCATATTTCTAAACAAATTTGAAATGATTTAAATAACCACGCACCATCTGACACAATAAATACAGGGCCTCTGGGGCCCCTGTATTAAGCTAAAACAATGACATAACATTTTTGCATCAAACATTTGCCATTGAAAACAAAACCTGAACTGGAAAAGTAAAAATTGGCATTAAAACAAAACAAAACAAAATTGTCTTGGCCCTGAAAAAAGTTTTACTAAAAGATAAAACACATTTTATTTCTTTTAGATTTCCTTTTTTTTTTTGTATTTTGCACAATCTTTAGATTTGGACTTTGGACTCACTTCCCACAACTAACCGGCACAGTATACCCACCTTTTTTAAAGGGGAAGGCTTTTGGCCAGTAAAGCACAGATGCATTTAGGCTGTATATGTGGTAACCAGAGGTGGAGGATCAGATCCTTTATTAAGGTAAAAGTACTAATATCCCACTTTGAAAATACTCCAGGACAGTGGGGTTACAACAGAAGCCTCCTATTGTCTCTGTTGTGTATTTACTATTGCTCTGTTACTATTATTGTTTTAATAAAGCAATAAGCAAAAGTATTTCCTATCCGATTATTTAACCCTAACCCTAACCCTAACCCACATGCCAAATTAAAAAGAAAATAGTCAACACATTAATTTGTGTAATTGTGTGTGTGTGTGTGAGAGAGTGTATATGTGTAAAATTTAAAACAAGTGTGATATCTGTACATTCTTGTCACATTATGCCACATTATAAATTTAATTAAAAGAAAATATATAATAGAATGTTATTCTTCTACCTTTTGTACTGCATTGGCAATGGCAGGACTATATGTTTTGTAAAAATAATTTGTCACTAACACATTCAGTGGAAACAGCTGACATTTTGGCCTCCTCTAGAAAGAAATTCTACAATAGCAAAATTATATTCTGTACTTGTCATGCAGGCAGCAGCTCCTCTGGGTTCATTACAGCGGCACCTCCCAGCACAAGTCTCAAATTGGAAGCGGCTGACATCGCTGTAGTTGTCGTCTACTTTATCTTTGTCATGGTGGTTGGAATATGGGTAAGAACTAGAAGTGACTCAACTAATTTTAGGTGGTGTTCATGATATTGTGTTAAACAACTGCAAGATTACACTTAACAAAGCCATTTTTAACTAATTATTTTTTTTGATTCCACAAATGCTAGTATCCTAAAACATCTTGAGAAGAACTATGCTGAACTATGGATATTAATGGGCTTTAAAAGTGACTTTGAATTTTGGCATTGAAAAAAACATTTGGCATTGTAAACAAAACCTGAACTGAAAAAGGAGACATTAGCATTGAAACACTGGAAAAAAATCCTAAAAGTCCTATTTTTTTCTTCATGTCTGCCTTTATTCACTGAAAAGGGACCATTCATCCTATTGCAAGTCTGTCACTTTGTCAGTGGTTTTCAATTTCAATTCTCTGTCACTGTTTTGGTGTAGAAAGGAAGGTATGAGGGGAAAGGGCAAGGAGAGCATGATTTACATAAAATCTACACAATCAGGAGAAAACGTCACTCCACTGGAACTGATGTCCGCTCAGAAGCCTCTGACATGACTACACATCTAGCATTGAACAATGCCTCCCAAAGTATGTCAAGTCTATTTCTCTCTGCCATTGTTTTTCACATATAAATTAAAGCTACACTACATAATATTGGATTTGTTCTAAGTAGACTACTTGATATTAGAGCTAATACGTGTCAGATAGCAAACATTAGGTTTCATGTTATAAAACAATTGCAGAGAAAAACAGACTTGCGGTTTGGGTGAACTCGTGAAAACCATTGCCATTGGTCTGCGGTCATATCAGAGGCTGCTGACTTGTCCTCTAATTATGAAGTATTTCTGATTCTGATCAGTTTTCAGGGTTGTTTTTATGTGTAAAATACTGATATTTATCTTTGTCTCTTTTATAGTCATCAGTGCGAGCCAATCGCAGCACTGTGGGGGGGTACTTCTTGGCTGGACGTTCAATGACCTGGTGGCCTGTAAGTAACAAACTTCTGATTGGTGTGCATAATGTTTTTTTCTCAGTTCTGTATATGCTACATTCTATATGGCTATGTAAACATACTGTACTGTTCTATTGTCTGAATTATAATCCTGTTTCGTACTGAATAGTTAAGTTTTGCTGCTCTTATGGCTGTGGCTCAGGAGATACAGCAGGTCATCCAGTAATCAGAGGGATGACGGATGAAGTTTGATCCCTGCTGTATGTCGTTGTCCTTCATCAAGATACTGAAACCCAAATTGCACCTGATACTGTCTCATCTGTGTGTGAATTAGTGTCTGTTTGTGACGGCCTTTGCCAACAGTGTATGAATATGTGTGAATGGGTGCATGTGACATGTAGTGCTTTGAGTGGACAGAAGTGTGAATTTCCCCAGTGGGGGATCAATAAAGTCTATCTTATCTTATCTTAAGAGTGTAGAGGCACTATTTAAGTACAGCCCATTTACAATTCACCATTTACACCTACCCTAACATTACAGAACAGTTATTCTGACACAATCAGAATAATGTTTTAACATAGAATTTTAATTTCATTTTCTTCTGTTTGAGCTTAGTTATTTATAAGTTGGCAAATAAGGAGCCAAACTAAAGGTGGCACTTTCAGTAAATAAAAGATTTTTTTTTATATATTATTCTTATCTTTCATGTACTTTCATTGAGTTCTCATTGAACCTAAATGATAATATTCCACTCAAAATACCATGACTTGACATATGGAAGAAATATATATATGGTCAGTGAAAGCCTCAGAAGACTGTTGCTTTAAGAGATTGTTGTAGTCTGGGTATGAGACTGATAGTGAAACCCACTCAAAATAGTTTATAACCAGAGTGAGATTGTTTCCAATCTTTTTACAATCAGCAGTAGCTATTGTCCAGCAGAAGCACCTTAGTGTGCTGAAGAATTACTTGAACAGGCTATGTTGTTGAGGATCATGTTAAGCTAGGCTAATGAATTTCTGCCATGGATGTTTGTTTGTTGCACATCAACATTGCAGTTTACATTACACTTAAATGTAAATGTGCTGGAGTTAGCTAATAAGCTAATTTTCATCTGTAAATGTTATAACAAATTAGTGCCCAATACCCTCCGTATAGTGCTTCAACAAGTACTATTACATACACTATACAAGTACAACTATACAATACATTAAATTCAATTCAATTCACTTTTATTTGTTATAGCGGCCAATTCATAACAGAAGTTATCTCAGGACACTTTTCAAATAGAACAGGTCTAGACCGAACTCTTTTACATTTACAGGAGACCAACAGTACCATTTTCATTTTGGTTCTGGACTTTCATATTTGGATCAATAAGCTTGTTAAAAAGCCAAAATGTGTAAAATGTGCCAAATCTAGTAGGCTAACACCTGTTATTTTCAATGTGTTCTATAATATTTAATCAACATTCAGGTAATTAGGGAAAAAAATGACTGGTTGTACGGATGCGTGCTGTACATTGTACATTCTCGGAGCAGGTTCTTATTGCCTGTATTTGTCATGCCGCTCCCACATTACCTGAATACCAGCTTAAATTGAGAATTGCAACAGTAGCTCATCCATTGCAATATAGCGCACTACAAAAAGTGAGATATATAAAAATTGTGGTGACCCACAATGGAACACTATAGACATTCACCAAGAGACTGTACCTTAAGGAGAGGTTGTAAAGCGTCTTGTAGACTCGCCACTGCCACCTGTCGTGCGACAACGTTGACGTCACGGGAGCGCGCTTAACAATTTATACCTGCGCTGGTGTTGCGACCACTAGTTGCAGTATTCTCCTGAACAGAGGGTGGCGCAACTGAGCAAAGGCTACCGACTTTGCTATTTTCTACGCACTAGAAGAAGAAGAAAAAGAAAAAACAATGGCCGCCTCTTTTTTGATTTACCAAATCTGTCGCGGAGGTTCTTCTAATATTTCCAGCATATGACCTCCTCTTCTCCAACATTCATGGAGATTTCTTTCCCATGAATGTTGGAATCTCTGTGTTCCTTCATTGAATGATCGTACAGTATGTCTGTAGAGGCGCACTTGCTCG